GTGTGTGTGTGTGTGTGTGTGTGTCTGTGTCTGTGTGTGTGGTTAAACACCTGTATAGTCAGCCTCATACAGGCATAATAAACGAACCTTAAAGATCAATGTCTTCATATAAACCGTAGGTCTTTATATGAAGTATAATGGAGTGAATAAGAATGCTGCATTACTAAATTGAAATATTTAGAGCATAAGTGAAAAACCTATGCAGACGAAAAATGAGTTTGCAACGTACACTAAGACCTGTTTATGTCCTAAATTATGCACTACTATTTTGAAAAGCCTGGTGATTTGAAAGACGAGTACAAAGTAGATCTCTGGGAGTCAGTGCACTTATTAAATTATAAAATGATCATCACTGTCTGGAAAGAAAGATCACAGCAGAATTCAAGTAAAAACAGAAATGAACTTTTCTTTATATACCTTTTTTCAGCAAACCCAAAATCACACCACTACTAAAAAATTTTTAATTGATTCATCCTCTACCCAAAGGCAATTTCCTCTTTGGATAGCCAAGAACATTTCTCTTATAAATCACAGTAATTAAACAAAGTGAAAGCCAGTGTGCAGTCCTAACAGAGAGATGCACTGACGGTTATGGTCTGGAATGGGCAGAGTCCTCTTCTGCCAGCACAACTGGCCTTCTGGCAGAGATCTGCTGCCATAACTGCTGTGCTGGCTAAATGCAGCCTGCAGAAGAGCTGTAAAAAGGTGAGGGAGCAGCTGAGCTACACCAGATCCAAACCAGCTCCAGCCTAGGAACATAGCCACTTGCCAGCTGTGAAATTAGGTAGGAAGGTAGTCCTAAGTAATTTCCAGAACTCCAAGGCTGGGAGGGGGTTGTATTCAGCACAGCTTCAGCTGGCGTAGTGTCAACTCAGCTGGCCTGAGTCATCTTGGCTAGCTAGGACTGCACCTGAAATCAAACTCAACAAGACCATCTTTTGCAGCTACATGCAAGTCATTTTCCTCTCCACAGTATGCATTTAAAAATTATGTATTTTTAAAAATAAATAAATAAAAATATTGTGGTACTTCAAAGACTTAACACATTTATTTTTCTGCAGGTTTTAATGGGTTACAGTCTAGCTGGGCTTGATGATAAGCTCCCATCATGGCTTGATAGTTGGCTATGTGCATGTGGAATGCTGCCTATGAGGAAACTTTGTGGGCTAGTAGGTTGAGCTTACAGCCTTCCCTGTTGGCAGGTGCATCCCAAGAACAGCCCTTGGATCTAAGTTGAACAATGACAGAATTTGGCAGAGGATGCTTAAAAAGAAACACAGCCTTATCCTATTGGACTCTTTATAGCTTTTCAATCTGGCATGATGTGGGAAGGATGGAGGAAGGCTTTTGTCACGATTGGCTAATGAGATTGGTTAATCTCAAGCCCTGCCATCTCAACCGGGATGTTGGATTTTTTTATGAATGGGGAAAAGACCAAGTTTTTTGCTGGTGGCACTGATTTGAAGACTGGGAGGTGCAATGACTTTGCTTTTCTCTCTTTCAGGTTGATATAGGAGCAGAGGTCCTCTGAGGGCGAGAGAGGAGTGGAGTCCTGAACACCTGGATCAGGTGAGGGCCCTGGGAGAAAAGCCAGTTAGTTTTCTTCTTCTAGTCCTGAATCATATAAGCTGTCATCTGACTGGCTGTCTCTTACAGGAATGGAAGCTGAGTATGACCTTGGGCTCCAGTATTCTGACTATGGGGTTGTAGTGAGGGCAATGGCTGGGCCAGCAGGATAGATCTCGATCTGAATCGCTATTCATCCTCAGAGACACGAGGAGGCAAGGATGGCTCTCATAAAGGAGTCTGAGGAGAGGGAGCTCTTGGAGAGATGGCAACACTCTGCACAGAGCGACTAAGGTATTCACCCTCTGAGATCACATCCTGGGCATTGGTAGTATAAGCAGAGGCAGGCTCCCGGACAGGCAATTGGGAGTCTGAGGTGGCCACTAAAAGCTCAGTATCAGTACGTTGCAGCTTCTTCCATTTGGTGGTCTCAATATTGGAGGCTGTAAGTCCTTGCTTGTAAGCAAGGACTTACATCAAAAACTGTATGGAACCGGCCAAATATTTAACGTCTTTGGAAATTAAAGGAACTAGAAGAGCCTTTACTTTGGCAAGGTGTTTGGCCCTCCCCTCTGCTGTACTAGAAGGGAAGTATAAAAATAACCCTTTTGCTGAAAGGTTATGCTCCTGCCACCTGAGGGAGATCAAGACCATACAGCATATGTTCTTCACCTGCCCATTGTATGAAGCAGTGCGAAAAGAGACTATAACCCCCTTAATAGATAGATTGCCAGGACGTTCGGAGGGAAATAGGCTTGAGTTCCTTCTCTCGGATGTTGATGTCCAGATCACCTGTCGGGTTGCGAGGTTCTGTGTAGCAATACTTCGACTGCGGAAGTCAAATACCAACTAGATTGCAGTTCCAAGTTGTATGTATACCAACATGTTCGAATTGAATACTGAAAGTTAGAAATTTTAAGGTTTTATAAGGCTTTATACTTATGTGACTGGTCTAAGGACCGTAAATAAACTTATTATTATTATTATTGGAGGCTGCAAGACCCTTGCAGAGACAGTGCTCTGATTTCTTGGTAGATTTTGGTGCCAGTTTTGACATTGAGGTACCCCGGGGTCCAGTTCTGAGGGCTTGTTCAGTGCCGCTGCTGAGTCCATGGCTTCTGTTCCCCCAGGGGGAATCAGTAGAATCAGTAGCCCGAAGGGAATTATTCCCAAAGAAAGGAACAAAACTGGGATTGATGGTTTGTAAGAGTGACAGCAGTAAAACTTTTGCAAATATTGCAGATCTGAACTCTCCTAAGCAACAGAAAAATAACCCTCTCTCTAACAGAATACTTTGCTTTGAAAGAATAATAAACAGGGATAAAAGGAGGTGAATACTTATCACAAAAAATGATGCAGGGAAGCAAAAAGGTGCTGGAGCAGTCCAATGTGTGCTGTTGAGGCAGCCAATGAAAACAGATTGAGAAGAGTGGGACCACAATTTTGTATTGTATAGGCAAAAGATGCTTTCAATTTTGAGGCTCTGGAACTTTCCAAACCAGCATTCCTACAGGCGGAAACCCCATTTGTGTGCATACATAGACACCACCACAAAGAATTAGTATTACTATTGCATTTCCTGTTGTAGCTCTGAAGGTAATTATACAATCATTGTGAGAAATTAGGATAAGCGACATCTAGAAACCCACTGAAAGAACCATATTACAGCAGATCACGCATATTACAGCCAAATGGAGGCCTTGTGCCAGATCACCTTGCACATTTTAGAACAAAGTACTGTACTATTTTTATTTAGATATCTCCAGAAAGCAAATGTAATCAGGGTCTCTAAACTGCCAATGCTTTTCCAGGAAACTGTAAACCAACAATAATAAAAAATAATAATATTCTTTTAATTGAGCATTAGATGTTTCTTATTAAATGAAATATCAAGATTATTTCATGATGCCAGCTCTTTAATTTCATAAGGCCAAGCCAGTGACAAAGAAATCTAACAGTATTTACCAAAAATAAATTAACATGTTATATGATATGCAAAAACCTAGAAAAATGGCCAGGCAGGGCTAATCCATAGATATCTTCTGCAATGTATCATCATATCAACACGAGAAACAGAAAATATATACATACATATATACATATCTATTCTCAAATTATATTTGGCACAAAAAAACATTCTTCAAAAGAAGTAAATGAATAAACCATAATGACATTTTTGCTAGAAACCAACATATGAGATAGCTAGAGTTTTTTCTTTAATCATCTCAACTCATTTTTCAATATCAGCATTTTGTGGTGTCACAGTTCTCGTTGTTTTATACAGTATATGTCTACTGTTTGCATTAAACATTTTAATCTAATATCTGAGCAAGTCAAAATAAAGTGCTACTGGTCCCTGGCAGGGTGTCAGTTTAATTACTTATGGGGGATATAAAATTTACCATTCCCTCTTGACATCTGGCGGTACATATATTACTTCAGTACATCGGTCCTTCGTAAAATGCATAAGAACAAATATTAGCAACAAAAGCAGTCAATTTATAGAGTTGTCAGATTACATGACTTAACACTTACTTTTGCGAAGGTCTGAAAAATATCTAGGGTAGGTGGCAGCTGAGAAGCATCATGGATCTCCACCTTCAAGTACAGCAGGAGTGTTGTTGCTAAATGCCCAAGGCCTTCTTTCATTTCTTCATTAAGGTCTTCAGTATCTTTAAAGGAAGCAATGTATTGCAGGGCATGAACTTTCCAGTCTAGACAATTCCAACCCCAAAGACACAGAAAAGCAAACATAGACCACTTTATTTTTGACACTTACTTCTCACCACCAGGTTATTTCTGCCAAACAATATGTGAATGGAAGAGTAAAACCTCAGAAACAAAGCAGATGGGCAAGAAGATGGGGAACAGCAAAAGCAGGCAATCGAGCAGGTTAAGTAAGAACGGCAATTCTTCATTATGCAAAATGCTTTCTACAGTATAAGATTGCAGTTAGACTTCCAGTCAGTTCTCACTAATTATATTAGTAGAGTTTTAGCACAATTGCAAAAAGGTGAAATGCACAGTAAAATCTATAGAAATATATAATATACAAGGTAAGCTCAAATACAAACATATGTTGGATTTTCATCTCTAGATATGGCAGTCTTTGTGATGACTATTAAGAAATAAACTGTGCCTTCAAATGGAGGCCTTGTGCTAGTGCAAATATGGACATTAGACAGCTTGTACATAGAATTCCTTGGCCACTTATGTACCTTCCTATGTCCTAGCTAAATTTTCAATGTTGTTCCTACTGTGAAAATGACATGGCCTTAATATGTGAGGGGAGGAGGGGGATGCAGGCCCCCAATTTGAGAAGTTACGCCCAAGCCTAAACTAGCAAAAAAGGCACTTTCATTTATGACAATTGGGATGACCAGTTGCTGACCCAAACCATCCACTGTGCTGTAGGTACCTATGCCCTCCAAATGCTGCTCTTGTACTTTGCAGGACCCACTTGAATAGCATGAGACATCACATGGAGGGCTGCAGCAGTATTTGGGGAAATCAAGGTAAAAGATCAAGTGTCTTGCCTCACTGAACCACTGCCCCTAGGACAAAGTGCTGTATGAGGGTGGTTCGTTGGACAGGTTAAAGGGCCATTTCCCTGCCCTGAATGGGGTTGAACTTCCCCTGAGGGACAGGGTCCGCAGTCTGGGGATGCTCCTGGTCCCCTATCTGGCCCTGGAGGCCCAGGTGGACTCCGTGGCCAGGGTTGCCTTCCTGCAACTGCAGAAACTGTTCCAGCTGTGACCCTACCTGGACAAACAGAGCCTCACGGCAGTCACATATGGACTGGTAACAACACGTTTAGACTCCAATGCATTTTATGTGACGCTGCCTTTGAAGATGATCCGGTGACTACAACTGGTTCAGAATTGAGCTGCACAACTGGTGAGTGAAGGAGCTGCAAGAGAACATATTCAGCCAATTCTGGCCAGGTTACATTGGTTACCAGTTGCTGCCTGGGCCCATTTCAAAGTGTTTGTTTTGACATATAAAGCCCTAAACGGCTCGGGACCTGGATACCCGAAGGACTGCCTCCTTCCATATGAGCCTACCCGGCAACTGAGATATAGCCAGTGAGGTGAAAGGGATGGCCTGTAGGCGGAGGATCTTTTCGGCATCTCCCCCCCACCCGGTCTTTGGAGTGCCCTCCCAAACGACACTGACGTTACAGACATTTCAGCGCCAGGTTAAAACCTTCCTGTTCCGGAACTTTTTTAATTGAAAGTTTTAATTTTAATTAATAGAGTCGTGGATCATTCTTGCAGTGTGGTGGCGTACAAGTCGAATAAATAAAATACATGAATAAATTACTATATTGCATCTAGTACAATATGTATGAGATGTGATACAACCATAAAGGATTCCCAGTGAGGTAAAATAGAGTTCAAAGACTCCGCAACCTTCCAAAACAGCCTTTAACATCCAAAGTCAAAGCACCAAACGTATGCATAGGGGTTCTGTGCCACACCTCACTCACTCTTGCTACTAGACACCAAGGACTGGATCCAAAACAATTGGTTAAAATGGTAACTGCATGGCTTGTCTAATATCACTGATTTTATAAGGACTAGATGCTTACTTCTTTTTTTGTAAAGGAAATTTAGAACATGGGCCAGATGATGGGCATGTCTAAAATAAAATTTTAAAAAAGTGCAGCCAACCTGCTAATATGGCAAACCAATCCTATTCATCTGTCTCGCAGCTGAGTGCCAGACTTTCTTTCAAAAATAAATGCACAGAAATGAATCACACCCTCAACATGTTTCGCACACATGATGCTTGCATTTCCTGTAACCTCAGCCATCACTCTCCCTATGCTCAATGCAAGTTACTCATGTACATGCAGTGAGCAGAGGACTGGATGGATATGAGAGAGGCATGCACTTGCTTTTGTTTTTCATTATGTATGTAAACTGCCTTGAGTGCTATTCCTTAGTGTAAAAGCAGGATAGAAATATAATAAGAAAAAATAAATAAAAGTGATGAGTCAGAAGAGAAGAACTCCTATCTCTGAACCAAAACCCTGAGAAACTGACGGTCACAACTGTATGAAATGTCTTGGTTCTCTGCTTCAGATTTATTATTTTCCATAAAGTGATGAGGGAGGAGAGGGAGGTGCCTGACCCCCTCCCCGTGTGTCTAGTCAACCCCTATCTGAAGAATGTGGCATGATTTCAAATGAAGGTGTACAAGGTCTGTTCAAACATGCCAGTAGTGAATGATCTGCATAACAGTTCTAAGCAAGGTGTAGATGCATCTTCACACCTCCTCAGTACAGACCTCTTCATATCAATCAAGAATTCAGTTCAACTAGCACAGAACAAGCCTTCAGCAGAATAATAAATAATAGATTCTACACACATTTTCTTAGAAAAGTCCTTTTAAGGGGAAATTGGGAAGCACATAATCAAGGCTGAAAGAGTCAACTGCAATCTGATTCCTAATCCCAAAAATATGTTCCTAAACTACACAGTCTTAGAAAACAAAGAAATTCTCTGTAATATTAAGATTGCATCTTAGATTGTGTCCAAGATGTTTATGGCCTATAAATGGAAATCTTTTTATCAGTACCTCATTCAAGATTGGCTCAAAGATATACTGGGGATCCTGCACCTGTCAAAATGTTAGCAAACTAGGATAAAATCTCATGAGAGCAAGGTGATCGCACAACATTTCTAGTGATATTAACCTCTTATTCAGATAACCTATCACATATTAAGAAGCTACAACATTTCTAGTGATATTAACATTCAGATAACCTATCACATATTAAGAAGCCATCTCCTCCAAATATTAGAAATATTTGCCTACACTAGAGAGCTTGACAGAGTTCACTGACTAGGTTCTGATACTCAAGTATCTATCTATCTATCTATCTATCTATCTATCTATCTATCTATCTATCTATCTATCTATCTATCTATCTATCTATCTATCTATCTATCTATCTATCTATCTATCTATCTATCTATCTATCTCCGCCCATCTGGTCTGGTCAACCACTCTGGGTGGCTTACAATAAAGAAAATACAATAAACCATAAAAATTTAACAAACAAACTGTGACACATGCAATAATAGAACAAAAGATAAATGAGAAAAGAAAAAGAAATTAAGTATTGACAGGAGTGAAGGCCTGAACGTACAGCCATATCTCTTAAAATACGGCAGTCTCTTAAAAGTGCCCAGCGTAGGGGCCGCTTAAAATACGTCAGTCTCTTAAAAGTGCCCAGCATAGGGGCCGCATGAATCGCCAGAGGAAGGTTGTTCCAGAGGCAAGGAGCCACCACCGAGAAGGCCCGGTTTCGTGTCCTTTCCTTCCGGGCCTCCCTCGGCATTAGGCTCCTCAGCCTCACCTCCTGTACTATTTTGTCACTATCTTACTATTTTATTATTTGACTTCATTATATTTCTTGGGCCTAAATCCAATGCCCGCTAGCAGAGTGAAAATCACTGCTATAGTTACACTGTTCTGCAAAGCAGAAATAAAAAACAGGATTCCAAAACGGAATTCCAAACTTGTGATCTATGTTGATCAACCCATTGTACAATGGAAGCAATACCAATCAAATTTCAGAGAGTCTTATTTCTCAGTTCCGCACTGTGTCCCTAATGTGGTTTTCAGCCTTGAGGCAAATCCTAAATCCTACAGAAGGTCATGCAAGGATATACTTGATAAACCACTGACTGAAACTCTTTTTCTCCTCAGCAGGACTCATGGCCCTGATACTAACAGATACTTTCTAATCAAGAAGGTACCTATTTTAGAAATTATTCACTTTGGAGTTCTACTCTAGCAATGTAATAACTCTTGGCTACTCAAAGCTAAATCTATTACAAAACAAAGAATCTAGGAAACCGAATTGCAACAGCACTAAAATATTGTTTTTCAGGCAAGAAGACATTTCTGCCTTCTAGGTGCCTTGATAATTTCACATTTCCCAACACTAGAAAAGGTTTCACTTTAACCTGATGTAATATTTTTACCTTTTGTGCTCTGGGAGGAGGGATGTTGCATTATACCCTACCAGGAACACACACATGTGAACACTGTTGGCTACATCCTATTATGCTATCTCTTCTACCATGACTTTCATAATACAGTGGTGCCTCACTTAGTGATGTTAATCCGTGCAGAAAAAATCATTGCTAAGCGATAACATCGCTAAGCGAAAATAAAAAGCCCATAGAAACGCATTAAAATGTGATTAATGCGTTCCTATGGGCTAGAAACTCACCTTTAAGTGAAGATCCTCCATAGGGGCGGCCATTTTCAGTGCCTCTTAAGCGAGGAAACACAGTGGGCGGCCATTTTGTTTACCTGGCGGCCATTTTGAAACTGCCAATCAGCTGGCCGAAACTGAAGGCTTTGCAATGATCGCTTCTCTGCAAAGCGAAATTTCCCCATAGGGACCATCGCAAAGCGATTTCATCGCTATACGGAGCGATCACTATGCGAGGCACCACTGTAATCCTCTTCCATCGATTCCCAAAAGATTCCAAAACAGATCAACAAATTCTGTATATTATTTCTCCTTTCTGATCAGGATTCTTCCTGCCACCCTCAAAACCTACCAATAAAATGGTCACATTTTGTACAGCTGTTGGAGTCTCTCACAGTTCTTTGCTAATATATCGGCCAGAATTTTGTTGGTGTTATTTACATCACATGCCATCAGCCATGTCCATGCCACAGCCTTTTCAGGAATTAATCCCATTCTCCCCTCCAGGCTCTGAAGAGCTCTAGGGATCCCCTTCATTCTTGAGGGTGTTCAAGAGCCACACAACAGGATATGGAAAGATTTGATGTTGGAATATTCACTTTTGGCAGTACTGGTCCCAGTGCTAGGACCACCAGCAGCAATCTTCCAACTTAAAATCATTATCTATCCTGTTCTATGGCTCTGGAAGTATTCCTAAATCAAAAAGGGATTCTTAGCTATCCCCAGAGCCAGGCAGGGTTGAATGGGAAGCTTTTAATTTCCCCAGACAGATGCAACATGGCCACAACTGATGACCTCACCAGAAATCAGTAGGGCAACCTATGCCAAAAGGATTAGAGCCATTGAATTCTGCCTACTAACAATACAAGATTTTGCTCATTATATTTTGTTCAGTATATTGCTATGGTTTTTTGTGTATGTCTTTATCCAGTATTATTTACTTAGTACTGGTCTTTGACCATAATAAAGTGTTACTTACTTGCAGTGCAAACTGTACAAACTTTGTAAAAGAGCATCAGCTGGTGCAATGAACCTTACTCTGGAACAATGACACTTTTGATTCGGGCCCCAGTTCTTAAGATTGCAATACCATAAATCATGCCAGGTTCTTTACAATGAATGATGGTATTAAAAAGACTTGATGTTTCAAAAACATCCTATATTTAAATTTACATTCTAAGTTTTAATTATCTACTGTTTCTGAAACAAGTTTCTTAAGCAATGTGTGACTCTAAAAGAAAAATATATCGAAAACTGATGTCAACAAAATTCACATTGGCTAACAAGAGCAGGAATGCAGAAAATCAGAAACTCAACAAATTCCCAAATTATTATGTTTTTTTTTAAAAAAACTATTAACTAGCTTTTGAAAAGACAGCCTGGTTAATTGTGGGCTCCAGTTTTAATCCCCAGTTATTAGGAGTCAAATTTGCTGAATTCCAAAGACAAGTCATATCTCAAGATGCTACACAGAAGTGAGAAAAATATACAAAAACACTGCTAACAGCTACTTACTTGATTTAAGATCAGAAAAAGAGTAGAGGTTCTCAGATGGGCATGGTGTCTGTCTTAACTGTTGATAACAGAAAAAATGAATGAATGAAAATGCATTTCATTAATATCCAACTCTTTTTAATATAAGTTATTATAATCCTAGCACACCTGTGTATCAAAGCAATTAACTGTCCACATATATTGATTCTTGCTTCCTCTCATGCTTAGTGTAAAAGCAGGATGGGTCAATGTTATCAACAATTTAAAACCTATTAATGTAAGCCACTGCTCATTTATTTTCCTTCCTGTTCTTTTAGTCTCTGCATTTTTGTTTCATAAATTCCATATTCCACACAGAGTCAAGATAAAGGGAAACAGTTGCAAAAAGTTTTTTTTTGAATTCAGCCACTTAATTAAACTGGGTTTTTTTTGTTTTGTTTGTTTTGCATTATTTTGGCATACAGTGTGTGCAATGTTTACAAACTAGCGGTCAAGAATTCCCATTTGAAAGAGGGCAGTCTTTTATAGATACCTGTATTAGGTTTGGGGTTTATACAGTAATGCCAGAATTTTGGATCAGCCCCAGCCTAAAATTACATAGACAATTCAACATGTGAGCAAGAATTAATTACACTCGTTAATTTTTGAGAATATTTTAGAGCTATTCAGACATCATTTCAATGCCAGTTACTTCTAGTTAACATACTGAACAGAAACTTAACAGACACAGATGCTTATTTCGATACATATGGTTGATGAGTTTGTTACTTTTTTTGTTTTACAGACTACCCATTAGTTTCTGCATTTCTACTCAGTCCTAAAGCATATATCTGGAGTAACTGACACAAGTAATTATACAAATACTCACCTTAGAGGACAATTATATATATTCATCTAGCCAGAGTTTGTGAGGTCATTTTAAAAAAGTAACATGGTATGATTAAAGTGTTTGCTTTAAGTTATGGACAATTAAACATACCTGAATGGTAATGATTGCTAATTTCTTACTTTTTAGTTCTTTTAAAAGCTGGAAAAATGCCAAGAAAGGTGCCAAATCCTTCCCAATTACCCTCAAAGAACATTTTTGAAGTAACAAGGAAAAATTACCTCTTACATGAAAAAAAAATTAATCTGAGTTAAGTGATGGGACAGCTGTTTCTTTGCCATGTAAAGAATGACCAGCAAAGCCGAAGCTATTTATTTAAGGCACTTTTTAGGATGCTTTTTGGCTAAAAAGATTCCTGCGTACCTCACAGATCAATAAAACAGAAGCCAGTTTCCATCTTCAAGCATATATGGTAGTTTAAAGAGACATGACCTCAAGTGACAAAAAAGATGAAGACAGAAAAGGAATAGAAGAAAACCTGACAACAGTTCTTAAAGTTAACAAGATTAACATTAGAAACAATGAGGTGCTTCCATTCCCTCCCTTATATCTCAGGCATCTTCAGACTTTTCCAGGATGACTCACCAGTAGAAAATTTACTTACTATTTTGAACACAATCCTGCCGACAAGCCTTACTGAGTCTGGTGGAAAGTTAGGCTCAACACTCTTGATACACTTGCACTCCCTTCTGTGATCCTGCCAGGCTTCTTTCTACACATTTTGGGGAGTAAAATATACATTAGTTTGCTTTTAAAAATAACCCTGATGATTGTAGCACAAGAAGGCTCTAAAATCTAATATAAAGAACTATAAATATTTCTACAAAAGTACAAATGGTTGTGCGCAAGCAAAATAATAGTCTTTGGGATATTCAGGCACATACAGCCATGACAAGAATAATTTGTATATTTTTCTAGTGCTGCGTTAATTATTACTTATTAGAGGTCTCTACTAATTATATGGTACAGAAAACCAATGATATGTTGTCCATATTTCAGCATCTTTTCTTTTTAGAACAAACTTGTCATACATGACTTCATAAGATTTTGAAGATACCTAACAAGGCAATGGTACTCTCTACCTAGAAAAACACACAATTATTATTATTATTCAAAAAAACCAGACACAGTCAATCAAAATTACAAAAACATTGACAGGTATTTGTGAGGCTCCCAAAATGGAGGCTATGGTAGGAGTGCCGCTGCTCCCAAAGAGTACCCACCAGACACAGACATCCCCCCCGCCATCCCCACCGCGACGGGAAGAGAAAGGAGTGGAGACCCCTGATAGTCGAGACCCCACTGTATATAGTACAGAAAACCAATGGTATGTTGTTCATATTTCAGCATCTTCTCTTTTTAGAACAAACTTGTCATACATGACTTCATAAGATTTTGAAGATACCTAACAAGGCAATGGTACTCTCTACCTAGAAAAACATACAATTATTATTATTCAAAAATACCAGACACAGTCAATCAAAATTACAAAAACATTGACTGTTATTATATAACAGATACAGGTTTTAACCAAAAACCTAAGCATCTGTCTGAAGGAGAGAAGGCCAGTGTGCCATCCTCCACAGAGCAGAAGCCGGAGGAAAGTCAAGGCTGCATAGAGGGAGTATTAGTGGATATAGATCAGGGGAGCGAGGGATGGAAAGGGTCACTGGAGGTGAGTCTGGCTGAGGAGAAAGGGGAGGAGCTGGACTTGATTGTTTGGGAAGAGGTTATAAATGATGGGAGGAACGCACACGAATTTGGAATTGTAACGGGCAGAGAGCAGCCCGAGAGAAAGGACTAGGCGGTGCAGACAGAGCTGAGTGACGGGCCTTGGGAATGGCATGGACTCTTAAAGGGCTTCCCAAATCTCCAGCTCGGTGGTGGACTACTGCCAGACCCCAAGGATTACTGCGTGAGAGGTGACGACCCGGAACCTATAGAATGGACCGTGGTTGTGTACCCACGCAAACAGCGTGGGGGGGAGGGTGATCCGTCCCATTCCCTCTTTACCCCATCAACCGTGCAAGGGGGACTGGGCGAGACATCTGTTGTGGGACAGCTTGTGCCGTGAGGAGCACCCCGCTGAGGCCGATGACAGACCGAGAGCGGTTTTGTCCGGCCCCTCTGTGAGGATTGACTTGGTAACACCCGACGTTAAAGTAAGAAGTTACAGAATATTACCAGAGTTGAGTCTGATGGATCCATTTGAGACAGTTGAGTTGAATTTGTTTAATAATAAAAAGAAGAATGTTCAAAATATAGAAATGCCTCCGGCCATTTTTCCCGAGCAAACTCAGGGGCTGCCCTCAGCTGAAGCTGAACCCAATCACAATCTGTTAAATATCAGTACAGTATGTATGCTGTTCCTAATATTCCCATTTTTTGTTGTTTTTGATATCAGCAACTGCTTATAATACTGTGTGAAATTTCTTGATATTATTCCCAAAAGCCCCAATGACTACGGGGACCACTGAAGTGGTCTCAGAAATCGCACCATCAGAGTTACAAAAAATGGCAATATTAGGAACAGCATACACACTGCATCGATATTTAACAGATACTTACGTTAACACTTGTATCTGTTCTATAATACCAGTCAATGTTTTTATAATTTTAACTGTGCCTAGTGTTTTTGAATAATAAGAATAATAGAAGTTCTATTACTCAGTATCAGAAGGAAATCCAGTAAAGCACAATTGTGTGACTTTCAATGTCATGCATACTGGCAAATATGCAACCCACTACTAAATCAATCGTGTAGAGCTGTAGCAATCTATATGAAAATGGCAGACTTGGTTTAAAAGGCCAGTGTCTCTGTATGGAGTCATGATTTATCTCCACATGTTTCTCGTATACTTAGCCCACTGTTAGGTACTATAGTGGAGGCAGTAAAGTGAAACAAAACCATGAAAAAGGGAGCAAATTGATGCCTCCACTCATCCCACGGTCCAGCCGAGAAGCAAATATTCAGAAAAGCATGGGGCAGACTTCTAGTGGAACTTGATCTTTATCCCAATATGAGTAGCTTTAGCTGAGAAACTGGACCAGATGCTGAAGATGTACCGAGGTAGGTAGATCTACACTTATCACCAAATCCTTTATGAGATACCAGCCGCAATAGTGGCCCAAACCTTCTTTCTAGATAAGTTCTGTCTTCCAGCAATTATCATTAGAGAGAAAGCAAAGCACCGGGATTTAGGGCAATGAAGCCCCAATTATAGATTCCTGATACCTTGTCTTCTCCAGCTCCAAAGGTCCCTATAAGCAGGACACATATGTGGGGCATGTTTTACTCTGGCCTCAAGAGTCCTTGAGAGCACCTTTTTAAACTTCCCCAATAAAAGTGAATGCTTGCCTACTGAGACCATGCAATAGCTATACTGACCTGTAAGGTACTATTTAACAGCAATACAAGAGGGCAGGGAGAAAGGAGATAGCCAGAGCTGAAAACGTCACTGGAGTGCTACTGTACCAGTCTATCTCTTGCAATAAATAACTCATCAGTGTACTATCCTACTCCTCACTGCTATGCCACCACCAGTTGCAGTGGTGGTGATTAATCCTTTTTCTCTAATTTGAAGCGTGGAGGCAGTTGCCTACCTGTATTTTTCAGTTTCTGTTCACAATCTGCTTTCAAAAAATGTATTCCCAATCCCTAAATAAAATTGTCTTTTCTTTCAGTGTAATGTTACCACATGTGGTGATGTCATTCCTTTTATTTCCAGTGAAAATCCTTACATAGCTAAAATATCATCATTCCTAAAGAAGGAAGATATTAACCAGAAATTTGCAACAAAACCTCTCAAATGCACCAGGGAAAAAACTGATAAAATGTGCATTCCCTAACAAACAAAAAACAAAAAAATAGCCTAAAAAAGAAACGTAATTGTTTGGTAACTGTGGCGATTGGCCCTTTCACTCATGCCATTCAGATTCATAAGCTGATTTGCATGAATCTATGACAGAGAGGTGGAAGGGCGGAGACAATGAATATATATGAGGCTTGGCTGAAGGAGTAGGCGGCAGATAGAGATAGGGTTGGTTAGTTAAAGAGAGAGGGAAAAGATACTGAGATAGGGTTAATCAGAGAGATAGAGCTGATTAGGAAAATAGGTAGAGAAGGTGGTAATGATATTGCAAGAGGAAAAAAGTATGTACTGAAAGAACTGTTGATGAATTGCTTATGTACAATGTGTATCTGGAAAACTTCTGTTATTATTCAATCTGCTTCACTTCAATAAATAAGTTCTGTTTCTGCTTACAAGACAAGTGTTCTGACATACGTCATTTATATTGTAGATTGAAATAATCCACTGGTAGCAGCGAGAAGAAAACACGACGTGAGCCTTTGTGAGCCTTTTTCCTTTTTTTCTGGGGGGAAATTGGCAAATGGCTAAAACTTGAAGACACTGGCCAGAATCCTACTGGATACTTACATGCTCATAAAAAGAACTGAGAAGTTGCCTCAGGTAACTTACATGTACTATTCACTGCTGTGGTGATTTATGGACACTGAAGGCTTACTCTTCAAGTCCTGAGGTCCCCAAAGGCTTCCCCAGGACAAAAGAGACCCTAGCAGGATTCTGAACCTGGGGCGGGGACTGAAAATTTTTAATTAGCCTTAAAAGACCATGACCGATGACATCATCAGCCTTGCATGCATGGAGCTGGGCCCACAGGATTTCGGCCTTATTCAGCACCTTGTCAGTTAGCTGCAGCAACTTCCACAATTCCTCATGCATGTGCATAAATATCCAAAATTATTGTGGAGCTTATTAACGAAGTCGTAGGACACATTGTAGATCTTGTTCTGTGTAAATTCCATTTTAAAAATGTGATTCTGGAGGACTGAAACATTCTGATTGGAGTTGACCTGTCTTTTAGTGGATACTGAACAGAGTTAATCCTCCATAGGGCATGATAAATCACAAACAAAGGCTTCTCAACTCTTCCTTCCTGCCTTCCCCATGTACAGAGAAGGAAAGAAGAGTGAGCTCATTCCTGAAAACATACCATTAATTAGCATTATGTTCAAATGTGGCCACTGAAATATATTTGGCTCTCCAAAATAGAAAACACAAAGGAATAAATCTGAAGCTTTTGGAAACTTACAAAGTATTTTTATTTTTGATACAGCTGTCTTCTTTATGGCCCAATGAAATCAGTAATCCCCTATTCTGAATATTTACATTCCACATCCAGTTCTGACAATCCCTTTGTGGATATCTCAGAAAGATTTTCATGAATTTTGTTGCTACTATGCCAAAATGTCTGCTTAAGGTTTGCACAAAGGCCAGCAGACAACAGTAGCAGGAACTATGACAAGGGATTTATGGGTACCACCAATACACAGAAAGCTTAAGGAGCAATGAAGGTGCTAAAACAACCATTTGCATTTCTGGCATTGGAAATATTGATTTAAAATTATGTAGATTTTGAAATTATTTAAGTGTGTGCTAAAAGCAATGTGGCAATTGCTGTCATATCTGTGGGAACGGCTCTTTGGCAAAGGAATAAATAAACCTTGCAAACTAATAAATAAGAGAATAGAAGAGGGTATGAAATTCTGCTTCACTCCTTGGACTCTTTTTCCTTAATTAACATAGATAGAGATGCTTAACAACGTCACATGGAGCTGTTTGCTTATTTGATCACCGTAGCCAGATAGTGCATCCCAAGAACTGGAGATTACAAATGTTACATGCCATA